TACGTCATCTGATAGTTAGTCGCGAAACCCCTTTCTTCTTCTCACTTTTAATAACTGTAAAACATCTGCTTCAGCATCCTAAATTCCTTATATTGTTATTATTTTTACTTTCTAAACTAGAACATCAGCTAGATGACCTAATTGTCAATGTTCACAAGAACTTACCAGGTGATACTGCTGCCTCAAATTTTCAGTCCGCAAATTGTGCATTTCACTGCTCAGAAATAGATATACAAAATGAGTCAGCAGCTAAGTGTTGGGCTAATAAGATCATTCATAAGCAGAATCGTAACTCTTTAAACTTAAAATCCAGAGCATAATGTAAAATCCAAATTTGAAAAGACAAGTAACGGAAACAGAAGTCCTCATATAACAAGTCCCTCCTTGCATTGGCAAGTCACGACTCACATGCACGTAATTTAGTTAGCTGTTGGCACATTGGGATATAAGAATAGTTCAACATCTAAGACTTGAGGAAATAACAAATCAAGACATCTCAAGAATTTAAGACAATGCCAGGAGAAAAAGGACAAGCACCACCCTCATAGTCATTAAAGCATAGAACAACTAAAACTCAACATATCCAGCTCTTGACATTGGTAATTACAGTAATGGTTGTCAAAGTTCAGAAAGCTGCATATACCTGTCCTCCATCCAGGAAACAGCATACAAGTCACCCAGGCAGGTCTCATATCCAGGAGGAAGACTAGGATAGTCCCCAGGACAATAGGTGCCCCAGCTGCTCTCTACAGCATTTGATGCTGTTGTGGCATAAATATTTAGACCTTTAGGAAGAAGACCCTCAAAGATACTTCCGGACTCACAAGCTTCAATGTACATTACCTGGTAATAGTAAACAGAAGAAGAAAATCAAAAATAAAGGAAAAATGAGAAAGGGACTTCACAAATATAAATAATTGCATTGAATATCGCAGCTCACCAAGCTTTTATATGTCCCAGAGGCATGCTTCTTTTTCAACACGTCAATCAGATCACTTGCATAGAGATAAGGATTGGTAGGCATCCCTAGTATACAGTATAGCAGACATGTGAAAAGTGATTATAGTGTATCCAACCCATAATTCAATAAAACAAATTTATGACAAAATAAGTGACTGACAGAAAGCATGCAACAACACCCAAGAGTGTGGCCTAGTGGTCAAGGAAGTGGGTGAGAACCATGAGGTCTCAAGTTCGAATACTAGTGGAGACAAAAACACTAGGTGATTTCTTCCATATGTCCAAGCCTTGGTGGATAGAATTACGTGGCACTTGTTGCTGGTGGGAGGTGAAAGGTATCCATGGAATTAGTCGAGGTGCGCGCAAGCTGACCCGGATACCACGATTATTAAAAAAAAAGAAAAGAAGACAGTAAGCATGAACAAACGGGACACTCTACCTAATGCCTTATATCTGTTAAAAATCATGTCCAATAAGATACCATTTCTTATTGATCCACACAAATAATGGAACTACAGACAAAGGTGCTCACTTCATAGCTTGACGACTGAAAGTGAAGGTGGTTCATGAACAGACACTACAAAGAGACAAGTTAGATAGAGATTATGTTTAAGCTTTGTACTGGTGATTTCATCCGCTATAGATGTATGTATTACAAAAATCAGAGATGTATTTGCCAATTAGGATGGAAGTGGAAAGGTGAAGTTTGTGAAACTGGAACCAAGAGTATACAGTCGTTCTATTGGTTTTCTCAGAGATGCTTTGCCTGATTCTTTTAGTTAGGGAGAGGTTGCACTAGGGGACGATTACCACAAGTTTATTGGTAATCAATCGGCAAACTGAACTCAAAGCAGATTCAACATATAAGAACCAGAGACAACATTAAACAAAGATTATTGTCCTTCCTAACTATAATAGACATCATCTGCTTGTCAAACAGTAGAAAGCAGTGAGGCAATGATCATTCATATTCAATAGACAGAAAGGTCTTGAATTGAAGGCTTAGATGCAAGCCTTGAAATAAGGTGATCAAATATAAAAATGCGAGATATAGAAAGCAAAGCAAAAGCCCAATGAGAGATAAATAAGCTACTTACCAAGCACCCCAGGGCCACCATGATCACTATAGAATACGAAAATATGATCATTCGGACCACTATCCACCACCTTTCCACTACCTCCAGTAAGAGCAGTTTTGTTACCAAGGAGAACAGCCAAAAAGTTGTCCACATTAACATCATCTCCAGTATAATCCTGCCTCAAGGAATAGCACATGAGACAAGAGTATGATTTAGGTATATACTAAAACATGACAGAAAAACAACTACCTTAGGGACTCCTTTGTAGACATCCTCGCCAGTAGGATTATTAATGATAACTCCTTGTCTTGGGTTCTCTTCATTATAAGCAATGTCATCATACATGAACACGATAATATTCTCATCTTTGAGACCACCTTTTCTCAACAGCTGATACGCGTGGCATACATCAGCCTGATATGAACGTCAAGGTTGACAAGGCTTAATAGTAAACACATGAAAAGAAACTATGAAGACACTCCGCATTGTTACAGTTAGGAGCAGGTTTATTCCATTCCCTACAGTCCCAAATCTGATTGATCAAAAAAGAAGGAAAATGCTGTATTAGCAAGACTCTTTACAAACTGATTTTTTCCCCTAAAGTTGTCTTGATGGGATGAGTTTCACAGGCTTTACAAGCTACCAAACGTATTTCTGGTAAAACTGCAGTGCAACAAAAAGGCTTCGTTTGTCAATTGTACCACCGACGAATGAGGACTTAAAATAAGAAAAGGATCACATTCAAACTATCAAATTATCTATACACCATAATCTGACTGAAGTCCAGCTCTCTAAATTTCTTCAGTGGGCATGACAACATTCATATGAAAGCGGTCGCTCATACAAAGTGCTCGAGAACGAGACAAAAAGAAGAAAATCAACTGACGAAATTTCTCTCTTGTGGTAGTCAATAGTAATGACCTGTCCCATGGGCATACTAATCTAGATTAGTAATCATGAAGTTCAGCTTTTCAAAGTATTACACTGCATCAAAATAATTCTCACATTTCATAACTTTTGATTTTAACAAGTGGAGTGTAACCAAAGTCCAAATTTTAACAATTTTAGTATAACCTTTTACTAGGTTCCCCAGCTCTGCCTAATTCACATCCAATGAAAAACCTAGAGCTTGTGAACAAAATATTTATACAATCAGTTCGCTTTATAAGGTAATTACAGATAAATTTATGACAAACATTAACAGAGGACCTGGTAAAAATGGTAATAAACCAACTATCACAGGTTAAAATTCACAGATAGTGTAAAAAGTTCATTACACTGTTACAGTGTAATAGTATAACTTAAATCCTATATGAAAAAGCATCAGAGTACACGTTTCTAGCTCGCTAGCTCATTCAACCAAACAAAAGTTAAATAAAAATATCAACATAGATTTACTGAAAATTTTCCTCCGTATATTCACCAAAATAAGCAAACCATCTATGTACATATTATTTCAGAAAAAAAAAAAGTGTACTACCCAAATCCAGATATTATAAACAACAAAATAAAATAGATCAGAAGGAAAACAAACTCGTGCACATCAGAAAAGTAAAAAATTTCAAAGGAAAATAAAAAGCATTTTCTAAAGGCCAAATAGTCATAACAATAACCTGATGTCTATAATTCCAATAACCATTTGATCCGGCAAGAAGGACGGCCCATCTGGTTCCAACAGAGTCATCGGCTTCATCGAAGAATCTGGAAGCTTCCGACGGAAGTTTCAAAACATTACGCCCGTCGGCGGTGGCGACGACGGAGAGTCCGACGAGGAAGAAAATTCCGGCAACGTACGAAATCATTATCAATTGGTAATTAAAAAGGGAAAGCCTAAAGGTTCTGCTATTTATAGCAAGTAATAATTACAGATAATATCCACAGTTCGCTTCAATTAGAATATACAGTGGATTTGACGTGGACGGCTGAGATTGATTGAAAGAAACTTTCGTGCTTTCTTATTATAATCATCATGTCTTTTTGGTGGGTCCTCTGACAAATATTTAAAAGCCAGAGAGTTGGTGAAGGACAAGTAAGTTTTGTCAGTAGAGACAGACCACCTTTTGCATTTTCCTATTTTAGTTTTTTCTTAGGCCAAATACATATGCAACCCATTCAACTTGGCACCATTTTTTATTTTGGCATTCTATTTCTACCTTGTTCCATTTTGGCCCTCCAACTCTATTTTATATGTTTCATTTTGGCCCTCCAACTCTATTTCTTATGTTCCGCTTTAACACAAAAGCTGAAACCAGTACAAAAATTTTAGCGCGTGTGTATACACAAATCTGAGGTGTAATAAATATCCAATTAAATATTACCACCTAATTTTTTCATCCATTCCAAACGGGTCAATACTAAAATACCTGAATACGATCGTATTTTTTCATCCACTGGTGCCCCTTCTTCATTCTCTTAGTTCCAAAGCTTCCATCTACCGATTTCATACCTGGCCTGTTTAGATGAAATAAACTCAAAAATATGGTCGGGTTCAGGTATTTTAGAATTGACCCGTTTGATATGGATAAAAAAACCAAGTGGCAACATTTAATTTACACCTCAGATTTGTGTATACACACACTCTATATTTTTTGCACTGGTTTCCGCTTTTGTGTTAAAATGGAACATAAGAAATAGAGTTGGAGGGCCAAAATGGAACAAGGTAGAGATAGAATGCCAAAATGAAAAATGGTGCCAAGTTGAAGTTGATAAACGAGTATTTAAAGTTAAAGTTGAAAAGGCATTTGCAAATAGTAATTATGTTTAGATATAAATTTCACTTGAAAAAAAAGAATCCGAAGTTTTTGTGATTGAAAACTATATTTTCACTTGAAATACTCATCAAACTCGCTAGTTTTCAACTTCAAATTCATTATTTTGAGTTGAAGTTGGAATAAATGGACATAATTATAAAACAAACATTGATTTGTAAATAATATTTCATTGTTGCTGAAGTTGAAACAATTGAAAAATATCCTAATGAAATTTCTGTGGATCAGAAGCCTAAATATTTTGGGGCAAGCAGAAGTAGAGGTTCCAAAGCACTGGGAGCAAATTTCCTAGCAAAAAGAAAACACATTGATGTATTTCTGTCATTGTAAGAACATATATCTCCTTCCAGCATTCTCTTCATAAGGCCTTCTGTAATATCTGTTTTTCCAAACATAACAGGATGAGCGCCGCCCCTTGACCAATCGACCCACGTTATACTTCTATTCGCCAAGAGATTAGGTGCTTGAATTGTCAACATGGTCGCGAAGTAATGCTCATCAGCATAACATGCTGGCTTGCAGAACTTCGCGAACTTGGGATAGAATTTTGTGTCTTCAACTATGTAAAGAGCAAGCTTTCTATTAACTTCAAACCATTGTGACCCTTTGCGCCATTGTGTAATGTTAACCTCAGGTTCCATATTGTTGTTATATCGACCTCTTCCATGTGGTCCGGGATCATCAAATGCATTAACAAAGCTATAGTTCGATCTCACTATATAGTTGTAAATGACAGTGAAATTGTAGAAAGGTATGCATGACTCAGAAAGCAGAACAAACCACTCATTGGAGATATCAAGTAATGCATTCGCGAGAAGTCTTCTCTCAGCATCAGTGATACTTATTTCCCCCCATTCTGCCACCTTCAGAACAAACATGTTATTTATGCAGATATCAGTGACAAGAACAACAAAATATGAAAATGTGGAAGCCATCATCACAGATGCAGCGTAAGAGGATAGAAGGAAAAGAAAGAAGAATATCAGGCAATTCTAACACCATAATCATCAAATGATGTTCACATTTTTTAACTCTATTCTCTTTTTTGAGCTGATTAGTGTAACATATCCTAACCATATATTGAATAGCACATCATGCACTATCTTTGCATATTCGTGCAATATCACATTCGATGTAACCTTTTACACAGTTTGACATCTTTCTTTTGGGCTCCTTCTCCTGTTGGCATCCTGTCCACTTCCATGCCTAGGTATAGAATTATTGCACCAGAATGAAATGCTCGGCAGTGAGCAAATAACAAAAAGGATTTAGCAGAACTAATTGTATTATAGCGGATTTTAGTATCAGTACATGCTTAATTAGAACCAGTTGTGCATGCTTTCTCACTTATTTCAACCCACAAAAGCTATATGATTAGTCCTCATCTCTTAACTCATGATCAACCTGTTAGGACCGAAAAAAAGTCAGGTGTTATGCGGAAGCTAGCAAAGCAAACCTTGAACGACGATAAATCACACAACAAAGGAGAAATCTACCAAAAGAGACACAAACATTTAACGTGGTTCGGTCAACTGACATACGTCCACGACGGAGATGAGCAATCCACTATAATAAAAAAGAGAGTACAAAATATCGAGAGAACAACCTCACGAAGAGGCAAACACAAGTGACACACTAACACTTGTCCCGTAAAGTTCTCCCCCTAGACACGACTCTCAAGTCCCCTATGGCTACATTGTGGATGCTACTGAATGTGAAGGAAGGATCCGAAGTCCAAACCTTTTCCTACAAGAAAAAGGACTAGCCAAATATTGGAGATTTATAATTTTTTTTTACAAAAAGGAAAACCCAGTTAAGGTAATTATATTGCCCTTTTCCTTCAAGAGATAGGAAAACCAAATATGGTAAGAAAATTATGGCAAACACCTAACACAACCTTCACAAATTCATCCCGTTCATGGAGATGTACAAACTACCTGCAGCTATCTAAAAATGTTCGATCGAATAACACCAACTTCATATAAAAACACTTCTAACTTTTGGACACAACAAGAACAGATTTGATATATCTCTCTGGTAGTACGCAAATCAGAGGGAGGGTCAATCATCATAGTCCTAGAGTTTTTCATAACGCATAGAGCAGTCCTAGATTAAAAAAAGGTCCTCTTAACAGGTTAGTCCAACATTAAACTTTGATTAGGAAAATGTTGATGTTTTACAAACTGAGTTTCCAGACATAAAGGAGATGCATTTCCAGCATTCACACAAAAAAAAAGGCAAATTAATTGATTTCTAGTCATTACGGATACATGACTAGATCCGGTCTCTTCATGCTTTGACACATTCCCTTTTTTGATCAGTTAGATTAGTCTCTTTATAAAAGATCTGGCCTGTTTTTTAAAGTGAAAATTAAAAGATTAAATTTTTTTTATTTAACTCGACGACTCTTCCTGTCCACATATAAGGCTCAAAACAACGAGACAATGAGAAAATGTACAAAGGTATAGAATTAGATAAGCAACATATACAGAATCAGCACAAAATCTGCATCATCAACATACCTGACTTGGAATCTGCCTCTTGTAGAAAACTGAAGAGGGTGGATAATCAGCTCGAAATGGTGGCAACGAATGAATATAAATCGAATAAAGTCTCTCTTGTCCCTTAAAAAATCTCTCCCAGAGAGGCGCAAATGGCAATTGCCCTTTGGTCAAGAACATGAATGCAATCTTAGGAACCCTCTTAAATGGATACTCCTTTATTCGCGACGCCAAAGAAGCCCTCCTGAACAACTCTTTATCACTCATGGTATGTAACATTTTTGATGGAGGCTTAATCCAAGGCTCCAAGTTAATAGATTCTTCGTTTTTACAAGGCTGCAAACTAGGATTTACTAAGCTTTGAAATCCAAAATGCTTGATCATATAAATACTAGCCAGAGGAAAAGTGAAACACAAAAACAAGAACAACATAAGTAACTGCAGCAGCCATTGTGGCAAAATCCTAGCTTGGTTTACCCTACCTACAACTAAAGGATCTTTAGTCTCCTCCATAGGACCAAATCTCAATTGCACCTATTGTTATGGTTAGAGAGCTATATAAAAAAGGCATATACTTATAGTGTTTACACTAAACTATGTTAAATTTACCATGGTTAAGTAATAAAGTAGGCCGCCCGAATATAATCAATCACTAACCATGTAACATGAAGATTCTAATAAGATTGCAGCAATCTAGCATGAGATATTTCCTTTTTGAGGATCCTGTTGTCAAGAATAAAGATTCCATAATACCCATTTTCCATAAAAGCAGCTAGGTTGAGGTTAAATTAAATCCCCTTTGTTGAAAATCATAAAGTGTTAATAGGGCAAAAACATTTTTTTGTCTTTACATATATAACATTCTTGTACCTTTTGAGTCCCCTTATTTGGATTTTTTAGCTCCGCCACTGCATTAAGAATTTTCCCACATAAGAACAAAATCAAGATTCTATAAACAGTAATATAATTTACAGCAAAACCAGGTTGACAAACTTCAATTTACCACCGTAATTGCTGAATTACCGTTTCAAGAACCTGAAGTTAGCATAGCGGTAAAAAGAGTAGTCGTCGAAAACGAAATGTTAAATTAGATTAATTTGCAATCTTCCGCTCAAAAAAGTCTTGCAATAAACCATCAAAGAAAAAGCTTTCTTGTTACATTAAAATCTTTATAATAGTAACCAATTTTTAAACTTTCTTCTGCCAAAACTCTTGGACAATTTTTTGAGGAACATAGTTCTTGAAAATTCTCAATGTAATTATCTGAATTTTTGGAAATTAAATGGTGAATTCGACTGTTGAATAGGTTTTTAGCTAGGTCGCCTCAAAAATTGGTCGTTTGCTACAAATACTCCTAGATTAATCTATGCATAGGTAAGAACTATAATGCATGTATTATGCAATATGCACAGAGACTGCAATACAATAGTAACTCAGAGAGTTTGGTAGAAAATAATTAGTAGTTTTAGAAGACCATAAGGGTATTTTGTCACCGTAGGCATATAAATTTTATTGAAATTAAATTCAATAAAATAATTTGGACTATACGTTAAACATATTTGTTCAAATAAATATTACGGGCTAATATAATTGAGGGAGAAGTGCACGGTTAGCCACTATTTAAAGATGTCTTTACTCTTTATCCACGGTTTAGGATGTATTTACTTTTTAATCAGTGCTTAATAATCTTTTACCTGCCCGGACGAAAATACCCTTGTGTTAGATATGGGTGTTGTGTAAATATTAAGGACATGGTGTCATTAACTTCATGAATGCTGTGTATATATTAAGGAGATGGTGTCCTTAACTTCATGAATTCTGTGTAAAATATTAAGGACATGGTGTCCTTAACTTCATGAATGCTGTGTAAATATTAAGGACTACTTGTCCTTAGTTTTTGAACTTGTAACTCTAAGTTTAGGACTACTTGTCCTTAGTTTTTGAACTTGTAACTCTAAGTTTAGGACTACCTGTCCTTAACTTTTGAACTTGGAACTCTAAGTTCAGGACTACATGTCCTTAACTTTTGAACTTGGAACTCGAAGTTCAAGACCACCTGTCCTTAATTTCTGTGCTTGTAACTCTAAGTTAAGGACTACTTGTCCTTAATTTCTGTGCTTGTAACTCTAAGTTAAGGACCAAGTGTCCTTAATTTTTGAACTTCCAACTCTAAGTTCAGGACCAAGTGTCCTTAACTTATGAGCTTGTTAATGTAAGTTGAGGACTAGCTGTCCTTAATTTATGAGCTTGTAAGTCTAAGTTAAGGACTACTTGTCCTTAGTTTTTGAACTTGTAACTCTAAGTTTAGGACTACCTGTCCTTAACTTTTGAACTTGTAACTCTAAGTTCAGGACTACATGTCCTTAACTTTTGAACTTGGAACTCGAATTTCAGGACCACCTGTCCTTAATTTCTGTGCTTGTAACTCTAAGTTAAGGACTACATATCCTTAATTTCTGTGCTTGTAACTCTAAGTTAAGGACCAAGTGTCCTTAATTTTTAAACTTCCAACTCTAAGTTAAGGACCAAGTGTCCTTAACTTATGAGCTTGTTACTGTAAGTTCAGGACTAGCTGTCCTTAATTTATAAGCTTGTAAGTCTAAGTTAAGGACTAGTTGTGCTTAGTTTTTGAGCTTGTAACTCTAAGTTCAGGACTACATGTCCTTAACTTTTGAACTTGTAACTCTAAGTTCAGGACTACATGTCCTTATTTTTTGAACTTGGAACTCTAAGTTCAGGACTACCTGGGAATTCAGTATAAATATTGTTTATACTCAGAAAAGTTCATTTTCTCTTTCATGAAATATCTTCTAAAAGACATTCATAGTGTTTTTTCGAGACACAAACACTTGAATTAAAAGATACTTTATACAGAAGGAACTAATAAGTTATAATGCATTTAAGGATGTAAACTTAGAATAGCTTTGCTGAAGGGCGAGTTTAAGATCAGAGACATAGCCATGTGTTACTGAGAGAAAAATGCACAGAAGAGATTGAGAAAGAAGCACACATAGCCAGCCACTTCTGTACAGAGAGAAGCGAGGGTTTGGAAAGAAAAGAAATAGAAGAAAGGGTAAAAATATCTTTTCATATTAATTTTAATAGACCAGTGGCTATTTTTGCTCAACATTAGAATTGCTGGATAAAAAATAAATACCACCTTAAATAGTGGCTACCCCACGCCATTTTCACTATAATTGAATTAATTGTATAGGTCCAATATATATGGATTAAATAAATAAGTCTTAATCCATTGAGTTAGCCCATTTAATTGGGCTACAAGTGATGAGCCCACTTTATTAGGCTCAAGATGTCATCTTCCTAGAGGCCCAATGCCACGTGTCAAATGACGTGGCGCCAAGTCAAATGGAAAAGCCAATAGGATCATGCCACGTGTCAAAATAACAAGGCATGCCAAATCAAATTAAAAGGCTAATGAAATCGTGCCACGTGTGCAAGTGACATGTTCTGGCCAATAAAATGCAGTCATGTCACACTTCAATTTGATTGGTCGAAAAGAGTTTGTTCTTATCACAACTCCTCCCTTCCACAACTGTAAATAGGGGTCTTCATAACCCAGAATAGACACCAGAAGTTATAGCAAGATGCAAGAACGAGCTCGTGGATCAAACGCTGCAAATTCCTCCACAAGTTTCAAGCTTCAAGCAATCAAGTTCAAGCTCAAGAACGAAGAACAAATCAAGTTCGGGCTCAAGAATGAGGAACAATCAAGTTCAAGTTCAAGCAATCAAACTCAAGATCAAGAACGAAGTCAAATTAAATACAAGGCGTTCAAGATCAAGGCTACTTGTTCGTGATACAATTTATGGCATCAATCAAAGTGTTCACGACGGATAAATCAAATTCAAATTCACGATCAAGCTCAAAGGCCCTTTAATTTATATTGAAAAAGTAGAATCAGAGGAATCACAGAGATTGTAACACTCAAATTACTTGGAATCAAATACTACGATTGTTGCAATATTTTTCGGTCTTGACTTTGTTTTCTCGACGCAAATTTATTGTCTACAAATTCTGGCACGCCCAGTGGGACAATCTCTACCTCTCATCTCAATTTTTCAAATCACCAAAGTTCAAGAACATCGAAATGGCTTCAAAGAAAATCAACTCCAGTTCAACTTCCACCAAGGTTGCTAATTCCAGGTTCTATGCTGATGTGGAAAACATACTCGAAGTTACCTTTGGAAGCTTTAGACCAGTTACGAGGAGCAAAGCAAGCTCGTTAGGACAACAAGCACCCCAAGTGCCGTTCGCATCTACCCCTGTTTTTGGATCTTCATCCTCAAAAGGAGCAAGATCTTCTACAAACGCACCCGAAGGAGGAAACGATGTTGCTGAAAAGATCAAGAAAACTCTTGCTCTGCTTGACCTCTCTGGATCCAAGCACTCTACTGTGAAGGAGGATGATGATGCTTCAAGTGATGGATCATTTACACCACATAACGTGAGACAATCAAGGATCAATCAGGTGTGAAAATCCATGCTACTCTCCATCGTCCACGACAATCATTCAAGCCATGGTGACAAACACTTCATTTGTGGGGGAGCAGTTGGCAAACTTGACGGAAGCAATCGCTGGCTTGACCAAATGCATGCAAAATCAAGAGGCTAGAATTGACAAGCTAACAAATAGGGTGGGAATCTTGATGGAAGAAGAATCCACCCATGCACCCGGCAAACTCCCAGAAGTTCAAGAGATTGATCCTCCCCCACGACAAGTTGCATCCACTAAGGAAATTCCAGTCTCTTCGGAAGGGTTGATTCCAATCAATCAACTAAAGGAGTTCATTGAAGAACTATAAAAAATAAATATGAAGTCGCTTCCAAGTCCTCCTTTACCTACGCAAATCCGTACACTTCAAGGATGGATATGTTGAAGATGCCTGCTGGCTATCAACCTCCAAAATTTCAACAGTTTGATGGCAAAGGCAATCAAAAGCAACAAGTGGCGCACTTCGTTGAAACATGCAACAATGCTGGGACTTATGGAGATTACCTTGTCAAGCAGTTTGTCCGCTCATTAAAAGGAAATGTTTTTGATTGGCACACGGACCTCGACGCTGGATCTGTTGATAGTTGGGATCAACTAGAGCAAGAATTCCTCAATCGCTTTTATAGCACGAGACGTACTATGAGTATGATAGAACTTACAAATACTCGTCAACGAAAGGGTGAACCAGTTATCGACTTTATCAATCGTTGGAGGAATGCAAGCCTCAACTGCAAAGATAGGCTTAGTGAAGCTTCGGGCATAGAGATGTGCATCCAAGGCATGCATTGGGGGTTACGCTACATCTTGCAAGGTATTAAGCCTAGCACATTTGAAGAACTTGCGACTCGTGCCCATGACATGGAGTTGAGCATGGCCTTCGCTGGAAATGAAAGATTGCCTATCTATGAGCCTCGAAAAGGGAACGACAAGCAAGAAGTCAGGAAATGGAGCAAGTTTGTAGCAAATCTGAAGACAAAGAAGCTATGAATGTCAACACACCACCTGTGAAGTTCACAACGAAGGTGAGCAAGAAGCAGAGTATGAAATCCACTTCTTTTCAAGATAAGCCAAGTGGAAAGTTGACTCTAAACGAAAGCAAGAGAAAGAGTACCCATTTCTA